CCCTCGGTGGTTTTTACACCACGATTTTGTATGCTGAGCCCAATGGGTCATCTTCGGCCTAGTCACACAGGTCCAAATAGCATCGCTATTGATCAGTCTTTTCAGCGCATTCTCCGCATGCTCGCGTCTTTATCCAGACGTCTGGCCAACAAGCAGTCCTGCGTGAGTCCGCAATTTCCTACGTCCGCCAATAGACCGGTTGGAGATGCCTGTGATGACTCTTCGTTTCCTTCCTTCCTTCGGGCCTGCATCCTGCCACGCCCTCTCTAACGCCCACAAATAACGACAATTAAAATCACTGAAATCTGATGATCTATTAGAGCTAGAAAGTAGAAATTAAGTATGTATAATCTTGAGATGGCAGCTCATCTTATGCTGGCCTCTTGGCAACTAAAAGTGATAGAAAGTTGGTTATTATTAGTTACGTAGTTTTTTAAGATGCCTCGAATCCGTATTATTTTTTTCTTATTCTGTTAGGGTAAAAGTTATTGTTATTTGAATTCTGTATTGAGTCTTTTACTGCTAGGGAGTCGAAATATATATTGAATTTACCCTTTTGGTTTTTAATAATTTCGAAGCATAGCAATTTTTTCAGAGGTGAGGATGAACATTGCGGCAGTATGTCATATTTTATTATTAGTGTGTTCGAAGAGTTTTTGTTGTGTTCCTAGAGATGTATCATGTTTCTTATGGGTTCGGAGTATTTTGTTTATTAGTTTTGAGAGGGGTCAGGAAGGTCTATACTTATGAAGTTTTATTGGTTTGAAAGGTAAATTAAGTGCTAGGCTTAATTTAATGGTCTGGTCTATTATTGGTGGCGTTTTCTTTTTTGATTTTTTACACTTGAAAAACTTGTAAATTGGTGTGTTTTTGGAAAAATAGGATAGGATTTTTAGATAAAATGGCAGTTATAGTGGCGACTGAAGAAGTTTAGAAAATAAAAGAGGGCCCACACTCCCCGCATCATTATTACCTAACCCCATGGTGTCGAAAAATTAACCTTATAATGATTTAGGGAAGGAATCACGTGTCCAGATAAGAGTGAGGCTGCTTAATCCCATTAGCATTGGGAAATTCAACGTGAATTGTCAAAACGCTACTCCAGCAGCTCAACGGTTAATTTATAGCGATTTTGATTAACATAATCATTTCATCACAAGTTTCAACACTAATATACTTATTTCTTAAATATATTTTTTCTCTTTTTTAAAATTAAACTTAAATTTGTAGTTACTCCTTCTTGGTGAACCTCAACAACAAACAAAAAAGAAGTGAATTAAGTTAAAGAAAAAAAATTTTAAGAATTGCAAGAAAATGCAAAACCATATATTCAGTGAAGAAAACAAATGGAAAAAACAGAAACTATATGAATATAAAGATTTTTCATTTGCAAGTAAATTTCGCAAAGCCAATAGCCATCAGTTTATTTAAATCGTTAATTTTTTTTCGTGTGAAAGTCAGTTCTTTAAATACTATAGGGTTACAAAAACACTAATTCTTTTACAGCAGACCTAAAGCAGAGATCGATCTTTCACCTATGGATATGCCGTGAGTGGTTTATTTATTTATGTAAATACACTGAGAATAATTGTTCTTTAGTAGTGCGAAAATTGTAATAGCTTATGTCACGTAAATACTTTATTCATCATTCTTCATACCACCAAAACAAACCTGAACTGATATAACATGAATTTTATTTATACGATTTAAGAACCTTAATTTTGTTATTACCTAATACCCTAGCAAATTAATAGTATCCAAAAATCCCAACTAAGTAATAGTCGATTGGATTCTTTTTATTAAATGCAAATTGTTTTTTTCCCCATCTAACCACGCCCGCCCGAAGGCCCACAAAACCCAAAAAATCAAAAATTTTAAAATTGTGTAAAAGACTAATGGGTATCTTATAGTCGTGGCACTCGACTATAGCGTTTCCTTTTGGTTTATACTATATTTATATTATTTATATATAGTTACTTTGTCTTGTATGAATGACCTATATATTTACTTTGAATCTCATATAAATTTTTTTCGCATATAATTAAAGTACTTTCATTCGATTTCATTCGATATCTTGTTAGTTCTAGCCGAATTTTGTTTTCTACACTTTTACAATTAAACTGAATTATGAAACGTTAATTATCTTCTATTTGAACTTGGCTGATTACTCCGAGGTTGTAGGATGTACAAAGGGTTCACTAGAGCTCTGCTCTATCGGAAAGTGACCAAAGCTAGGGTCGGCAATTCAAGAGTCCCTTTATATCTGTGACATCGCAAATGATCAATTTTTCTTTTCTTTCTTGCAATCTTTAGTTTTCCTTTTTTTTTGAGAAACAAGTTTTTGAATGAGAATTGTTAATTATTATTAAGTAAGAAAAATGGCTCCCAACGTGTAGGACCTTAATGAAGCTGTTTATTAAAACTCAAGGATAAATTAATTCGACGAGCCGATCGATCGGAGACTCACGAGCGCTTATTTCGGCTTGTCTTACGGATAAATAAGAATTCAGCATACAGTGATGGTGAACAAATTGTAAGCCATGATTTTGGTATTAGCTAGATTACTGCTCCCGACGTACTAACCCGGTTGGGGGACTTCCAAGCGAAGTGGTTTCGAGGGGCAGGACAGCTAATTTCCTTGTTGCCCGCTTGCACAATCCAGAGCTAGTGCGGAACACCGCAACTCGATCGACGCCATCATCTCCGGAGACAGTGCTCTCCACCCATCCGAGGCGCCACTGGAAGGGGGGTAAGTTGTTCTCCGTGATGAGGACCATGCTGCCTGGATTTACGTTGTACTCGGGGGAGCGCTCCGCTCCTAAAGCAACGAGCGGTATTCGGTGCTCCATTTTCTCCCGAATATTTGTTGCATTTAGCAGCGTGTGTGCCAACGCTGCCACCGACTCAGACGATCAAGGTTGAGATGGGTGACGTCCGGTTTGTCCATTTGTGTGAATGTAGACCCAATAAAAAAGTGTGCAGGAGTCAGGACATCGATGATGGCCGTGAGTTCAACGTTGCCGAAATTTCACAAACTAGCGTTCGCAGCTCGTGAAATGTGAGAATGGATTTTCCAACAACGCGAGCAAAATGGTACTTGGTAGATTCGACAGCAATTTCCTACAAGCCTCCAAAGTGCGGAGAACGAAATTCCACTTGATTTCCTTCAAAGTTAGGGAACTACATAACTTGCTGTGTTGAGGATCGCTAAGGAACAGCTGCCGCAGCAAAATGATCTCGTTCTTAGCTACCACAAAATTGGTTGCGTTGTCCGGCCAAACCGTTTGAGGCTTTCCCCTCCGGCTGATTGCTGTAGGTAGGATATACGGGTTCTGGCTAAGCGGAAAAATATACGGGTTCTGGCTACAAGGAAAAATATACAGATTATGGCTGGCTAGAAAAATACACAGATTCTGGCTAGGTGGAAAAATATACGGATAAACGGATTCTGGCTACAGTAAAAAATATACGGGTTCTAGCTAAATGTGGATTTTGGACTCCCCTTCACTCCCCCCTCCCCAAGTACTTTAACTAGACTTCTACCTCAATATACTGTTCCAAAGCTCCCACTGCACTCACCCTAAGCTCGCTCACGACTCCTCCCCTCCAGGCAGTGTATTGTATGTATAGATATTAAAAAATACGTCTTTATTGTTTTTTATAACTTTTTTGTTTATGTGTTTTTAAGGCTTTATCCTTATCTTTTTTTTAATTATTAAATATTCTCATAACCATTGAGAAGAACGAATATTTTATGTGATGTGTCCATGTGAGCTGTTAATTTTTTTACATTTTTTTTGTAATATGTTAGAACCTATAAATATTTTTTTCAAAGAAAGCGCATCATATTTTGAATATTATTAAAATATATCTATACCAACTGCAAAAAAATATTTCTTTGTCAGAGTCTCCATCTAACTTAACCAACCATACGATCGTGTTGAAGACTGTAAATATTTTTTATACATTGCACAAAGGAATATTTTAAATAGTTTAAATATTATCAATGGGCAATAAAAGAAACAATATTTTTTTGTCAGTGTTTTCTACACGCTTCGCCATGCATACGATCGTGTTGACGGCTTTCAATATTTTAAATTATATATTTCCTCAGAATACAGTGCAATATTTTATAAAGTTAAAATACCTTATATTTTTTATCCTGTTATTTTTGTTTTGTTTCTCACGTTTTTTCAGCGTTTAACAGAAGTGTTAAATATTTTTTTGGTCAATGCCATCGATATTATTATACAACAAGAAGAAACGCTATGGTCCAGTACCGCGACTATAAGACACCCTTTACTGTTTTATACAATTTTATAATATTTTGCTAGTGGAACACAAGGCGCCACCTATTGTCAGAGAAAGTATGTTGATTATACATATTGAATTTCTACTTTCTAGCTCTAATAGTTCCTCATATTTCAGCGATTATATTTTTTGTGATTTGTGGGCGTTAGAGTGTGTGTGGCAGGATGATGAGATAAATTTGCGCTGCGTAGCGCTCATACGGACAGAAGACCAGACCGAGAAACGGACATGGCTTAATCGACTTCCCTATTTATACTGATAAAGAATATATAATATATACCTTCTTTGGGTCGGAAACGCTTCATTCCTGTTACAAGCTGTTCAAGGAATCTAATATACCCTTTTACGAGTAATGGATATAAATATTAATTTTGCTAGTGAAAGTTCACAAAGCGCACTCTTTTATCAGAAAAAGCATATTTAGTAACGGATAACCTACCTTTCTTTATAAATAGCGAAATAATGTTCTGATATTAATTTTTTTTGGTAAATTGATAGATATAAACTAGAAATATTAAACAAAGTCAAAAAAGGGCTTAACTTTTTAATGGACGCCATAGCTTTTCGTGGCTTGAGGACGGCCTCGCCCATTTGGCAGGATGCTGAAATAAACTTGCGCTGCAACAGCATATGGCATATGGACATCACATGAAGAGTTATGAGCACGCGCAAAATGTTTGGAATATGAGTAATTTTGATAATATATCAGATTATTTATTGTTATATTTAAAGATTGATGTGCTTTTGTTATGTGATATCTTCGAGAATTTCAGAAAAGTATATAAAAAAACTATAATTTAAATCCATGTCAATATTATACAACTCCTGTTAATAAATTACATTGATATGCCATGCCACAAGCTATGCCATATAAAAATACGAAATAGTTAGAAAATTTTGATTTACATGCGTAGATGATCAATCAATTGTCACCTTTTAGAAGTAGATTTGGAATATACTGAAAACCTTGACAATCGACACACTGATTTACCATTTTGTCTGAAAAACAAAAAAGAATGAAAATATGCAACATCCAAAATTGATTACAGACTTGACAAACAAATATAATTATTAGTGCATTATATGCACTACAGAAATTTACAAAAGTGTCTTAAACATAGCATGATTTTAAAGAAAATTCATCTTTGGTCTTTGGAATTGACTGCAGTAATTATTAAAAAACATGGGCTGATAATGATTTAAAAAAAAATTGTATCAAACTACTAAACAGCAAGACCATTGAGAATGTTGATAGGAGAAAATTGAATTAATGAGCAGTTAGTAGCTATGTTTTTTGTGATTTGTGGGAGTTACAGCCACGGCAGGATGCTGAGATAAACTTGCCCTGCGTATGGACCTCAAGAATCTTCATGCTAATTCTCAACTTTGTATCTCTGGTTCCTGAGATCTCAGCTTTCATACGGACAGACGGACAGACAGACGGACATGGCTCATTCGTCTTTGCTATTCATCCTGATCAAGAATATAAATACCTTATAGGGTCGGAAACGCTTCCTTCTACCTGTCAGAAATCGTCAATCCTTTTTTATAATTCATCTTCCTACAATGTAAGATTGTTTTTATCGGAAAAAAGAATAAAATTTAATAAATTGTAATACTTACACTGTTAATTTAAAAGTATTTACCAAGTTTTTAATAATTTCTCGACTTTTTTGAAGATTTCTTGTAATAGGTAGGGTAGTGGTTTCACAATTACTCCAACGTACCACTTATGTTGGAGGTTGAGTATTCTCCACATTTTTAGAAAGTCCTCCGACTAGCACCTACTGTTGTGATGATGTAAAGTGTTATTGCGATTGTTGTTGATCCATATTATCCTTGTTGGTTTTTAAAGAATTGTAGGACAATTTATTGTTTACTCCAACAAAATTTGACATTAAACTGACTTAAAATTGAACTGTCTAGCGCCATTTATTGAAGGATTACTATTAGGATTTGTTTTGCATGCGCCCGGATGAAGTGAGTGGGAAACTAGTTGCTTCAAAAGTGATATTATATTTAGAGGAGTGGTTATCTGGAGAATTTTCAATTTTTTTCCGGTTTCCTTTCATTATATAACAACGCACGTGTAAAACGCATTTATTGCATTTATTTCACAACAATTTTAAATAGCATTTATTTATCATCTAACCATTAGAATTTATATATATGTACATACTATACAGAGTTTTCATTCTCCGTCGTTGTTTATGTCAAAGGAAATTGATATTAATAACTTTGTATACACTTTGTATTATATTGTGATATATTAGATAGATGATGTTGATCTAGAAAAAAACAAAGAAAATTAATAAAATCCATTAGCGCATGGTATACTTTGATTATACAACAACGGATGTGTGCTTGCGATTTGATTTAAATTAGAACGTATTTATTGTATTTATGTCACAACAATATTAAATAGAATTTATTTATCATCATCATATAGAATGGTTATAATAAACATTATATATATACATACGAGGTGTGTTCAAAAAGTAAGGTGACTCTTCAAATTTCGCGAATTTCAAATTTTTCGATTATCGAAACCTTTTAGAAGTTATACGAGGTGTGTTCAAAAAGTAAGGTGACTTTTCAAATTTCAAATTTTTCAAATTTTTCGATTATCTTCAGTTTTGGGAACAAGAAAAAAGTCACATGGGGCCAAATCCGGTGAATATGGTGGCTGAGGCATTATTGTGGTGTTGTTTTTGGCCAAAAAATCCAAATCCTTTGATCCATATTTTTCGATAGCAAAAAATCGCCGAGCTCGCAAAATAACTTGTAACTTTACGCCTCTCACAACCAAACAAAAGAGGATGTTCCATTGAAACTTGGTACAGATGTTAGGGAAGAGTGTACCAATATAACAAAACAAAAAAATCGATAATCGAAAAATTTGAAATTCGCGAAATTTGAAGAGTCACCTTACTTTTTGAATACACCTCGTATATGTACATACCATACAGAGTTCGCATTCTCCGTCGGAAGGAAATTGATATTGATATTTGTATACACCTTGTATTACATTGTGTTGTGTTAGATAGACGACGTAGAATGAAACAAAGAAAATGAATGACGCAATATATATTTCTACATTGTTGTTGTTGCAAACAAAATTTCACAGAAAGTCATAATTTATAAATCATCATGTTCATCAGTTTGTTAAATGTATATGGAATATTGTTGTTTAATTTAATTAAGGGTAATATTCAAATTGTCAATATGTTCAATCGCATATGTATATTTTGCATTTTTTCCTTAGCCAAGGGGGAGATTATTAAGATATTTTTGAATGAAATAAATAATTTTGTTTGCTAACGTCATATTTTTTTTCGTTGTATATATAAAGTATTTATATGCAAGACCTGTTCGTAATCGTTGATGTTATTCGTTCCAATGTTTTTTTCTGACTGTGTGTTTTGAGAGGTGGATCTGATTTCATCATCTAATAAATAACTTATATCTAACTTTTTTTCGCGACTCCCGTTGCTTATCGTGCAACCCACCTCCCGCCTAACCGACCGAGGGGCGCTGCCGTCTATCGTTCGGCTCGGAACACGGGGATAGGACCGAGGGGAAAATTAAATAAATAAATAAATTTTATATGTGCTAAATGGCTTAGAAAGACAATTTTTACGTTAGTAAGAGAAGTATTGGATGTTATGTGGTAGAGGGTATTGTAACTCGAACATAATACCCTAAATGGAAGGGTATGAAGGGCGAAGTTCGAGCTGCAATGTCCCAAGGATAAGGGAATATAGTTTCTAGTGGGCCTAGCGGGCATATTGATGTTTAAGCGACCTATTAGGGCTTGGCTATCAATATCACCACTAATAAGATTGTTAATAAAAACAACGCCAAGCATTGTCCTACGGTTAGCAAGGGTCAGTAAGTTTATTGGTAATAGTCTACTTTTATAGGAGGGAAGATGTAAGTTTGCATCCCAATTTTGGCCACGAAGAGTAAATAAGAGAAAGTTTTTTTGGATTGATTCTATACGGTCTTGGTGGACCGCGTACTGGGGGTTCCAGACGCAAGATCCATACTCTAAGATCGGACGAACGAGAGAGACAAATAAAGTTTTGGTTATGTAAGGGTCATTAAATTCTTTCGACCATCTTTTTATAAAACCTAACACACCTCTGGCTTTGTTAACCATGGAAAATATGTGGTCGGAAAATGTAAGTTTGGAATCCAATAGGACACCTAAGTCGTCTACTAGCTTAATTCTATCTAGGGTTACACCACAAAGTGTATAAGTAGATATTAACGGCTTAGAGCGACTGAAGGTCATTACTTTACACTTAGAGCCGTTAAGATTTAGTAAGTTTGCAGAGCACCAAAATTGAAAGTTGTTAAGGTCAGATTGTAGTTTTCTCTGGTGGCACGAATCTTAATATTGAACACAAAGTTTCACATCATCTGCGTACATTAAAATAAAAGAATTTGTTAAAGCGATTTGAAGGTCATTTATGAATAATGTGAAAAATAGCGGACCTAAATGGCTTCCCTGAGAGAAAAATCCATTAGCGCATGGTATACTTTGATTATACAACAACGGATGTGTGCTTGCGATTTGATTTAAATTAGAACGTATTTATTGTATTTATTTCACAACAATATTAAATAGAATTTTTTTATCATCATCATATAGAATGGTTATAATAAACATTATATATATACATATATGTACATACCAGAGAACGGCAAGGGTACACCCAGACAATGAGTGCACTCGAATCATGTGTGCCTTTTCGGCACTCAGAGTGTGATCGGCACCCTAAAATATGGGTGTGTGCCTTGCACAAGCTCATTTTGAATGTGCACTTGCGCACCCAGTACTCTTTTCAACAGACACCTGACACTCATAGCAAATGAAGCAGTGTCTGAGACACCCATGTTTTTGGGAAAAGTAAGTCGGGTGTCTTGAAAATGAGTCGAGTGCCTTGAAATGATTCGAGTGTCTTGAAATGAGTCGGGTGTTTCGGGTGTCTTCAGCTGTATTGCATGAGCAGGTCATTGAGGGTTGACCGAATAATTTTACATGAAAGGAAGGATGGAAATCCCAATAATTTAATCATAGAAAAGTATATTTCTAATAATACAAATTATTGCCGTCTTCAGTAACTAATATTAAAAAATAAGAGTTTATAATCATTACAAGTATTTAATGACAAAGTCTTAAAAAAACCCAAAAAAAAAAAAACGTACATTGCATCAATATTTTTTAGTTTTCCGTGTTGTTATCAAACCATCTACCTGCAAATGTATTCCCGTTTTTTGTAGATGCGTATAAGAATACAGATCATAAGTCAATTGCACTGCGAATAACAGGTAGATGGCCTCGACATGGAAAATCCTAAAATATTTGGCCTTTTATAGGGGCCATTATTGGGATTTCCTTCCTTCCTTTCATGTAAAATTATTCGGTCAACCCTCCAATGACCTGCTCATGGCAATACAGCTGAAGACACCCGAAACACCCGACTCATTTCAAGACACTCTGAATCATTTCAAGACACTCGACTCATTTTCAAGACACCCGACTCACTTTTCCCAAAAACATGGGTGTCTCAGACACTCGCTTCATTTGCTATGAGTGTGTCGGGTGTCTGTGCATTAGGATCATGTGCCTAGAATTGAGCGGGTGTCAAAAACGCAAACACCCTAAACGCACAAAGCGATCTGTGCACTCCGGGTGTGTGCTCTTTTATGAATGTGATTCGGGTGCCGAAAAAAGATACCCTTGACGTTCTCTGGTACATACCATACAGAGTTCGCATTCTCCGTCGGAAGGAAATTGATATTGATATTTGTATACACCTTGTATTACATTGTGTTGTGTTAGATAGACGACGTAGAATGAAACAATGAAAATGAATGACGCAATATATATTTATACATTGTTGTTGTTGCAAACAAAATTTCACAGAAAGGTCAGATTGTAGTTTTCTCTGGTGGCACGAATCTTAAGATTGAACACAAAGTTTCACATCATCTGCGTACATTAAAATAAAAGAATTTGATAAAGCGATTTGAAGGTCATTTATGAATAATGTAAAAAATAGCGGACCTAAATGGCTTCCCTGAGATACACCGGATGAAGCATAAATCGGACCAGACAAGACATCTTTAAATAAAACACGTTGCGTTCTACCAGTCAGATAACTTTCAACCCATCTAAGAAGATCAAGTCAAGTTTATGAACTAAAAGTGAGTGATTTACAGAGTCAAATGCTTTACTAAAGTCAGTGTAGATGACATCTGTCTGAACACTTTTTCGGAACCCAGTGATGACATAAGAGGTAAATTCAAGTAAGTTTGTAGTTGTAGACCGTCGAGTCATAAAACCAAGTTGATATGGAGATATTACTGATCTACACTGGTGTTGCAAATGGGGCACAATAATTTTCTCAAAGAGTTTAGGAATTGCTGATAATTTAGAGATACCTTTATAATTACCAGCATCCGAAGTTTTCCCTTTCTTGTGTAAAGGAATGGTGAAAGATTCCTTCCAAATAGGGGGAAACGTAGTCGTTTCAAGCGAGAGGTTAAACAGTTTGAGAAGAGGATTGCAAATGGAAGACGCGCAGTACCAAAGCACACAGCCCGTAACGCCGCTCTGAAGATCCTTAAGAATACCACGCTTAGATAAAAAAGGTCGCGTGACGAGGTTCGACTGCGGAACACCGTAGACATAAGGCTGCCTAGCGGTTGTCGAAGGTGAATATGTGGCTTGAAAAAACTTGGCGAACATATCGGCTATTGCCTGATCAGTTCTTGCCGTTGAGTTTTCAAACGATAGTGCTGAAGGAAACGTTTTTGGTCTACGCTTAGTCTTAACGAAATCATAAAACTGTTTCGGATCCTTTGTAAATTGGGTCCTACAACGATCTAAATAATTTTTATAACACTGAGCGTTAAGCACGGTAAAATTTGACCGAGAAATTAAGCATTGAGAGTAACTAAGCGGAGTTATAGTTTTTAAGTATTTGTTCTGAAGCCTGAACTTTATATTTTTTAAGGTGCTTGTTCGGTCAAACTCACAATATTTTTCGTCTTACATACTGTTTCTCTTTGCCTATACAAATGTAAACAAAGCTCATTAACATGTAACCAATCTCTGTAAATTACTCTGTTGGAACATTATGTTATTTTGCCGCTGCTAATAAAAGGCAGTTGCTGATGTTAGATCTTGGAAAACGGTTGTCTTTTTCTCGCCTGAGTTTTTAGATTGCAATTAGTTTATGCACCCCCCAACCTGATATCTTATGCAGCACAAAAGACGCTTCGTGCATTATACATTTTGGCGCCCAACGTGGGGCAGTGTTTAAACAAATTATTAACAATTTATTAATTCATAAACAATTGTCGTGAAGTATCGCCCGCAACAATTATTCCGCTCGACCCGCTCATCGCAACTCAACATTGTCATAACCGCATACAAAGGTGAACATTCAACCCTAGTGCATTCATCGAAAGTGAATAATAAAAAAACAAATAAAGTTATTAACTATTCACGAAAATTCTAAGGGCAACGTGTCGTTCGTATAACGGAACTATTCGCGCTCTTCTTCGCACATCTCTTCGCTTGTGTGTGTGTGCCGCCCGCTCCTATAAGCTCGGCGTCGATCGCTCATTCTCATTTTGCTCCGTTATTCCGCCAGCAAAGTGTTGTTGTTTTGTTTACATCGCCAACTGCAGTCGCTGGTACAGTTTTTGAGTTCTAGTCGCTTTCGCTTTGAACTAACTTCAGCGGCATTGCCACATTCGTCGCTCCGCGTTGTTGCTGCCGCAACTTTACTCTCGTTCTCGCATTCGCATTCTTCGTCGCAGCAATGGAAACGACTATATTGGAGACTCTCAAACGGCAACGCTCGAATATTAAGCGCAACATTACGCATAAGAGGAATGGTCGATGTCAAGGAAGAAGAAGAGCAGAAATCGCCGGCTGAACTTCAGTGCCGTTTGGGAATCTTAGAGAGTCATATTTTTAAGCAAGCCCTTTCGGTACAACTCAGAAATTGAGACCATGGAATCCACAGATAGTGGACGTGCAGACCTGAGGAGGACAGTTACATAACTACAAAGTTGGCAATTCAGCAACTTCTTGGAGAGGATCTGCACAACACAGTTTTCGACCACATCTCTGCACCAAGCTACAGCGCGCCGTCTCGACTGCCAAGATTGGCACTACCTAGCTTTGCTGTAAATCATAAGGATTACAAGAACTTCATCTCGTCGTTTCTGCCACTGGTCAATCGTGAGCAAATATCTAATATAGACAAATTTAATCATCT